GTCCCTGGAATCTGAATGAGAATGCTGTCCCTTTAAGATCCAAAATGCCCTCCACTTGTAAAGATTCAAAATGGCTGCACCCTCCATCACTTTAAATATCCAAAATGGCCATCACTTGTACACATTCGAAATGGCTGCACCCTTGGTCACTTTAAATATCCAGAATGACCACCACTGTTTATAAACAATCAAAATGGCTGCACCTTCTAGATAGTTGAAAGTCCACAGCTCAGGTTGTCTCCCTCCTTGCTGTTTCCCTTCTAGTCAAAGGCCACCAGCCCTGTCATCCCTGCAGCCCTTGGCTACCACTGCTGATCTTTAGGTCAATTCTCAGGTCCCAGCACCACTTGGAAATATTCAGGCTGTTGATCCTGTCAGAATAGCTGACAGTCCACTGCTCTGACCATCTCCATACTCACTGTTTTCATTCAGGTTTTTCCTCTAGTTGGTACCTAATCCACTTCTATATACTTCCTTTCAAAGCTCAGGTCTCCAAAATTGTCTTCTGTATCTCTGTCAATTGGTTTTTCTTTTCTTTGTTGAAGAGGGTCTGTGTACCTGTTTGCCTATTCCTCCATCTTACCAGAAGTCGAAAATGTCTGTTGTTCTGATAGAACACATTTATGGCTTCTACAGAGACTATTCCACTGCAGGGAAGGTTTCTCACCTGAGGTCCTCTGAGGAGTGTTGGCTCCTCATCTTCCTCCCTGACCATCCTCACCTTCTGCTTCCTGTCATGCTGAGATGGCATCACCCTCACAGGAAATCATTTCTCAAAGAAACCACTCTTCAAGGAGATTTGTGTCTGGTTACTTTCTGCAGAGTCATATTATTGTTGTTGTTGCCAGGTGCCATTGAGTTGCCTCTAACTCATACCAACCATATGTACAACAGAACAAAACACTGCCTAGTCATGCATCATCCTCACAATCCTTGCTATACCTGAGCCCATCATTGCAGCCACTGTGTCAGTCCATCTCATTGATTGTCTTCCCCTTTTTCCCTCACCCTCCACTTTATGAAACATGATATCCTTCACCAGGGAATGGTCCCTTCTTACAATATGACCAAAGTAGGTGAGATGAAGTCTGGCCATTCTTGCTTCCAATGAGCATTTCAGCTACACTCCTTCCAGGACAGATTTGTTAGCTCTTCTGGCAGTCCATGGTACTTTCAGTATTGTTTGCCAACACCACAACTCAAAAGCATCAATTCTTCTTCAGTCTTCCTTATTCATTGTCCAGCTCTCACATGTATATGAGGCAATTGAAAATACCATGGCTTGGGTTAGATGCCTCTTAGTCTTCAAGGAGACATCTTTGCTCTTCGGCGCTTTAAAGAGGTATTTTAAAGCAGATTTGCCCGGTACAATATGATATCTAATTTATTGACTGCTGCTTCCATTGATGTTGACTGTGCATCCAAAAAGTTTGAAATCTTTAACAACTTCAATCTTTTCTCCATTTATCATGATGCTGCTTATGGTCTAGTTGTGAGGATTTCCATTTTCTTTATGTTCAGTAATCCACACTCCATACTGCAGACTGTCTTTCATCTTCATCAGTAAGTACTTCAAGTCATTCTCACTGTCACCAAGCAAGGTTGTGTCATCTGCATATCACAGGTTGTTAATGAGTCTTCCTCCAATCCTGACGCCCACTCTTCATCATATAGTCCAGCTTCTCAGATTATTTGTTCAGCATACAGATTGTCAACCCTGTCACACTCCCTTCCTGATTTTAAACCATGCATTGTTCCCTTGTTCTGCCTGAATTTCAGCCTCCTGGTCTCTGTACAAGTTCTTCATGAGCACAATTAAGTTTTCTGGAATTCCCATTCTTCTCAATGTTATCCATAATTTGTTGTGATCCACACAGTCAAATGCTTTTGCATAGTCAATAATACACAAGTAAAGATCTTCCTGGTCTTCTTGGCTTTCAGCCAAGATCCACCTGACATCAGCAATTATATCCTTCATGCCATGTCCCTGCAATCCAGCTTGCATTTCTGAAGCACCCTGTCAGTATATTGCTGCAACCATTTTTGAATTATCTTCAGCAAAATTTTACTTGCGTGTGACACTAATGATATTTTTCAATAATTTCCACATTCTGTTGGATCACCTTTCTTTGGAATAAGTACAAATGTGGATCTTTTCCAATCACTTGGCCATGTAGCTGTCTTCCAAATTTCTTGCAAAAATAAGTAAGTGCCTCCAGTGCAGCAGCCGTTTGATGAAATATCTCAACAGGTATTACATTAATACCTGGAGCCTTGTTTTTTTGCCAATTCCTACAGTGTAGCTTTGACATCTTCCTTCAGTACCATTGGTTCTTGATCATATATGCTACTCCTGAAACAGATGAACATTGACCAATTCTTTTTTGCACAGTGAGTCTTTGTATTCCTTCCATCTTCTTTTGATGCTTCCTGTATCATTCAATATTTTGCCCATAGAACCTATGAATATTGCAACTTGAGGCTTGAATTTTTTCTTCAACTCTTTCCCCTTGAGAAATGCTGAGTGTGTCCTTCACCTTTGGTTTTCTAACTCCATGTCGTTTGCACATTCCATTATAATAATTGACTTTGTCTTCTCTAGCTGCTCTTTGAAATCTTTTGTTCAGTTCTTTTATCTTGTCATTTCTTCCATTTGCTTTAGCTACTCTTTCTTCAAGAGCGAGTTTCACAGTCTCTTCTGACATCGATTTTGATCTTTTCTTCCTTTCCTATCTTTTTAATGACCTTTTGTTTTCTTCATGGATGATGTTTTTGATGTCATCCCACTACTCGTCTAGTGTGCAGTCATTGGTGTTCATTGCAACAATATTTGTACCCAAGAAACGTGTGCCTTTGTGCAGCTATCATTTAAGGACAGCTGAATCCCACTGAGGGCTTCTCTCCTCATTTAGCATGCTTCACCCAGCCTCTCAAGTTTTGATTTTTCATCAAAACTCTGCTGAACCTGTTTAGCATCATAGCAACATGAAAGGTTCCATTGGCAGATAAGAGGTGACTGAATTTGCAGTGTATTAGCCAAGGGTCCAACCAGGGTCTCCCACATGAAAGTCAAGAATTCTACCACTGAATGACCACTGCTCTCACAATGCTTATTAGTGCATTATTTGTAATTTTTTAAAATTGAAAGTACATCAGGAAGGAAATAGCCAAGTAAATTATGATACACTGAGAAAATGAATGCAAATGTTAAGCAGAATAAGTGGAAGTGATATGTGGAAAAATTAAAAAGACATGTTGCTAAGTGGGGAAAAAAATTGTTGTTAGGTGCCATCTAGTTGGTTCCAACTCATAGCGGCCTGCATTACACTAGAACAAAACACTGCCCATTCCTGCATCATCCTCACAGTTAGCCTTTCATGAGCTCATTGTTGCAGCCACTGTGTCAATTCATCACATTTAAGATCTTCCTCTTTTTCATTGATCTTCTACTTTACCAAGCATGATGTCCATCTCCAGGAACTGGTCCCTCCTGATGATATGCCCAAAATATATGAGATGAATTGCACCATCCTCACTTCTAAGGAGCATTACAGCTGAACTACTTCCAAGACAGATTTGTTACTTCTTCTGGCAGTTCTTAGTATATTCAGTATTCTTTGCTAACACTATAGTTCAAATGCATCAATTCTTCTTCAATCTTCCTTATTCATTGTCTAACTTTGGCATTTATATGAGGCAGACTACCATAGCTTATGACAGGTGCTCCTTAGTCTTCATAGTGACATCTTTACTCTATTGCACTTTAAAGAGGTCATCTGCTGCAGATTTGCCCAATGCAATATGTCATTTGATTTCCTGAGTGCTGGTTCCATATGCATTGTTATGGATCCAAGTAAAATGAAATCCTTGACAACTTCCATATTTTCTCTATTAATTGTGATGTTGCTTATTATGAGGATTTTTGTTTTCTTTATGTAGAGGTGTAATCTATACTTTGATCTTCACTGATAAGTCCTTCAAGTCCTCTTCACTTTCACCAAGGTTGTTGTGTCATCTGCATATTGCAGGTGGTTAATGAATCTTCCTCCAATCATGATGCCATTTTCTTCTTCATATAGTCGTTTCTTGGGTTATTTGCCCAGCTTACAGACTGAATGAGTATGGTGAAAGGATATAACCCTGATACACATACCTTCTTGATTTCAAACCTATCCTATAGTTCTGCTTGAAAGACTGCCTCTTGTCTATGTACAGATTCTATATGAGCACAATTAAATGTTCTGGAATTCCCATTCTTTTCAGTGTTATCCATAATTTGTTATGATCCACATAGTAGAATGGCTTTGCATAGAAGAAATTAGCACTACAAAAAAATTCATATTTATAATAAATTTATGTAAGAGAATGGAGAAATCCAGAGATATACATATTCTTATGTAAATGCATAGGAAAAAAAACTTCATTTCAAATGGATGAGTGATTCTTTTGAAAAGGAATCTGGGACTAGAGTAAGAGGTTAAGGTAGGACTTTATTATTTACAGGAGCTCTGGTGGTATAGTACCTAAGGCATTTAACTGCTAACCAGAAGGCTGGTAGCTCAAACCCACCAGCCACTCCCCAGGAGGAAGATTGGGCAATCTACTTCTGTAGTTATACTGCCTCAGAAACACAAGGAGGGGTCGCTATGAGTTGGATCCAACTCAATGACAGTGAGTGGTTTGGGTTGACTTTCTTATTATAATGATTAGCTAATTCCAGCAGATATAGTAATATGCATAAGGAGCCTGCAGTTAATGTTCACTGAGGAGTAAATATTTCGTTCTGGGAATTGGTTTCATTTAACATTAAGTAACTATTTATAAGTGATATTTAGTTTAAAATATATTTTCCTGAGTGATGTTTATTTTAAAATCTTAATATGTGTGAGTTGTTAACTTACATATACTAAGTAAAGATCATTGTAGTCATGAAAAATTAAATATAGATGTTGGAACCATAAATATAATTACACAGATGTTACTTTCTTTTCTCTCTTTAGTACCTACATGAAAATGGGATTGTCCATCGTGATCTTAAGCCAGAGAATCTTCTCTATGCAACTCCAGCCCCAGATGCACCACTCAAAATTGGTAAGAAAATGTCTCATAACCTCTCTTCCCAGAGAAGAAATTTATTCTATGACATTTTAAAATATTGCTCCATCTCATTTTGTTTCCACTTAATTTTCTTGATTAATTGTCATCTGTAAATGGAAAATGCATAGTTTGGGGAGTTTGTGCTCCCTCTCCTAGAATATTAACTTGGAAACGAATGTCTAGAAGTTGATGCTAATTGCTGGGCACATGAAGGAATCTCAGCTCTTAGAAAGTGCTTTTGATTTTGTACATAAGTGTATATAGAGGAAAATCACAGATAACAAAATTTCTTTTTGAATGTTTACTTTTATTCCACCACTTAGTTAGAGCTTAATTTTAGATAATCAAGAACTTTGACATAGAATGTCTAGGTACATATTAACAAATCTAGGCTCAAGTTCATTTGTTTATATAAATAGAGACAAATTGAGATCTGTATTTTCCAAAGTTCATCCCATAGAAAACTAATCCATCAGCAGAGTGAATAAATTTTTCTTTTGGGGGAGATTGGTGTGGTTTGCAGAAGTACCATGGTTGAACAAGTAACTTTATGAAATGCCAACTTAAGTAAACAAGAGTTTTATTTCTGTATGACTTCCTAGAGCCTTATAAATGCTAATGTGTAAAGTGATTATTATACAGTATAGTATGAAGCTTTATCCAAACTTTGCTTGACCCAAAACTACCCTACACACACATAGCCTACAGTATGCATTTTGAATAAATGCTTCTCTAAAGATGAACTTTGGAATTTCTAATGTGCCCAACCCACCAAACCCATCCCACTGCTGTTGATTTAATTCCCACTTCTACTGACCCTATAAGATAGAGTAAAATTGTCCCCATGAGATTTCCAAGGTTACCATTCTTTACTGAAGCAGATTACCATATCTTTCTCCCATGGAGCAATGGGTGAGTTCGAACTGCTGACCTTTTGGTTAGCAGACAAACGCTTTCACCACTGAACCCTGAGGGCTCATCAGTCTAACGAAAGAAACCTTAACTCAGCATTTTAGGAGGATTACATTATATGTTTCTCTCCATGTCCCTCCCAAAGAAAATGGTCACTTACAAAAGCAGAAAAACTTTATTTCAGATGAATTCTCCTTATTAAATTCTCCAAAGGTCACTGTTCCTCATGTGCCATCCTTTGTAATGTTCCTCTGATGAGTTCACTGCATTTACAAGTGTTAACATCTTTGAAAATTAAATTGTACATATCATGGAAGAGCTCAGACAACGTAATATGCCTTATGAATGTAAGAACCTAAAGAAAAAAATCCTGAAAATCCTGCTGACAGCCAGTGTGTTCTCATAATCACTCCTGAAAGGCTGTGGACAGCAGGGAGGCTCCCATTTCCTTTGACATCATTTTCAAAGATTTCATCCTTAAAGAAATGTCTTTAAATAGATGGATAGATACTAATTTAGGCAGGAAAGCCTTTCTTTCTGAAGGGTTTCCTGCTGCTTTTGCTGATAGGGATCAGGCATCTCAGTGGAAAGGTGGGTTTATCTTTAAAGTCTAAAATGGCATCAATTCTGCACCTGCCTCTCTGAAAGAATGGGCTGGAAGGGTTTCCTGATGTTTCTCAAGTAAGAGAAATGTAGTGCAGCAAATAGTTCATAATGGTAGCAACTTTTGCTAATATTGTATTTAGGTAATATTCTGAGAAATAAATTTAAATGACTTTTTTTGCAAGAAAAATGTTTTTTGTTCTTCATATGAGAGTAAATTCTTACCTGTCAAATACCCTAGGGAATGGCATTACTTTTTTCAAGCAGAATAAGCCTTTTGATATTTCTATTTGTTTCCTAACCTTTGTGAAAGTCTAGATTTTTATTTTTATTTTTCATGGATTGAAGGTTCTGAATCATACCACTAATTCTATATCTTATAATTAATCACAGAATTAATTGCATGAGACAAAATATAACTATTACAATCATTACTTCAAGGAAAAAAAAAATACCTTATTGACTAAAAGGTGAAGATTAAAAAACCATAAATGTATTTGGGAGTCATTTTTTCTCCAGTTTAAAGCAGGATTTTATTTTTTTAGCTTCCTCTCTCAGATGATTCATCTCCACCCATACCAATCAACCATCAAATACAAAAGCAAACAAACAAATTAGTTTTATTTTAAATAACAAAGATCTTCAGTCTTCTTGTAGAAGCTGAAAAAATACTTGTTTCATGAAACTTTTTTTCCTTTCTGTTAGCGGATTTTGGACTCTCTAAAATTGTGGAACATCAAGTGCTCATGAAGACAGTATGTGGAACCCCTGGGTACTGTGGTAGGTGCTTTAATACTGTTATTTTATGTTTATTGTTATTTGAAATATATTTTGATTCAATCACCTGAATTCTGGTGGTATAGTGGTTAAAGTATTTGACTGTTAACCAAAAGGTCAACAATTCAAACCCACTAGCCACTCCAAACCCACTAGCCACTCCAAGGGAGCTCTGGTAGCATAGTGGCTAAGACACTTGCCTGCTAACCAGACAGCTGGCAGTTCAAATCCACCAGCCACTCCTCGGAAGGAAGGTTGGGCAATCCTACTTCCGTAGTGATACTGCCTCGGAAACCCAAGGAGGGGTCGCTATGAGTCGGGGCCGACTCGACGGCACATAACAACAACAACAACAAGCCACTCCAAAGGAGCTCTGGTAGCATAGTGCCTAAGACACTTGGCTGCTAACCAGAAGGCTAGCAGTTCAAACCCAGCAGCCACTCCTCGGAAGGAAGATGGGGCAATGTACTTCCATAGTGATACTGCCTCAGAAACCCAACGAGGGGTTGCTATGAGTTGGGTCCAACTCAACAGCACATAACAACAACAACAACAAAGCCACTCCAAGGGAGAAAGATGAGGCAGTCTGCCTCTGTAAAGGTCTACAGCCATGGAAACCCTATGGGGCAAATCTACTCTGTCCTACGGGTCACTGTGAGTTGGAATCATCGCTATGGCAATAGGTTTGGTTTTGGTTTAATATCTCTATTTACAAATCCTTAAAATCTGATGTGAGTCACCATGAGGAAAGCATATATAAATACTATTAAGACTACTTCTTTTTCTACAGGAGAGGTGAAATGATTTTGGTATTTGGGCACCTCTATTAAAACAGCAGGGGAGAAGGGAGTCTTTTGAGGACTAGGTATTCCTGTTCATGCCTTTTGGGCAGTAGTTATTCGGTGACCCACTCAGGAATAGAAAGACAGCTACTAGGTAAGCAGGCAGGGAAAGAGCAGAGTTTGTATTTGGAATTAAACCTGTGAGATCTTCGTCATTTTCTTTATTTGCCTTCCTTTGGGAGGATATAAGAGGAAATGTTCACTGTTAATTCAGAAGCATGTGAGACCACAGTGAGAACAAGATGGTTGTTGTTAGTTGCCTCTGACTCATGGCAACCCCATGGACCATAGAAGGAGATGTTGCCCGGTTCTGCATCACCTTCACAATCATTAGCATGTTTGTATCCATTTTTGCAGCCACTGTGTATTTTGCGCACTTTCCAACCTTGGGGGCTCATCTTCAAGCACTATGTTATAGGAGGTTTGTTACGTCCAAGGGGTTTTCAGTGTCTAATCTTAAAAAGTAGATCAGTAGGCCTTTCTTCCTAACCTGTTTTACTCTGGAAGCTTTGCTGAAACCTGTCCACCCTGGGTTATCCTGCTAGTATTTGAAATACCAGTGGCATATCTTCCAGCATGATGACAATACATAAGCTACGACAGGACTACAAACTGACAGATAGGTGATAGGAGAATGAGGCAATCCCTAGTTACCATTTATGGCACTTGCTGAGCCTCACTAAGATAAATGCTTCAGTTTGGGGGGTTCACATGCCAGAGTTTTCTAGTCCTTGGAGATGGATTGTACTAAGGTCTTCATGTCCTCTTGCCTACTTTCTCAGAAGGGCTGAAGGCATCCCATGCACAGTCCACAATCAAGAGAAAGAACAAAAGCTTTTGATCCACACCGGCATGAAATTCACCATTTTTTTTTTCTTGATGGCTGAATTAAACTCGTAGCAACCTAAAACCAATAAGGTTTGTGGAATGTATCAAAAATGCCTAAAAATGTTGTGATTAATTAATGTCACGAATCAATCAAAATCTTTCGTTTAATTTTTATTGTGATTTATTTAAGTGAAAGTCTATAGAGCAAATTGCTTTTCCATTCAACAATTCATACATACTTTGTTTTATGACATTAATTGTAATCCCCAGAATGTAACAGCACTCTGCCCACTTCCTCTCTGTGTTTACTGTTTCCATTTTACCTTCTTTACTATCCTTTCTTGCCTTCTGAGCTTTATCCCTGGGTCAATAGTGCCCTTTTGATCTCGTATGGCTGATTATTCTAGGAAGTGCCTACCTTCCTGGTGTTACTGTTCACTTTATAGAGCTGTCTATGTTTAGCTGAAAGTTAAGCCACAGGGGTGAGTTCAGTTCCAGGCCTGAAGGTCCCACCAGTCAATATCAGTAAAGTACTCCTGGTCTTTTTTATGATTTTGAATTTTTTTCCCACTCTATGCAGGACCTCATATTGTGATCCCTTTCAGAGTGGTCAGCAATGATAGCTTGTACCAGCTAGTTTTTCTGGTCTCAGAGTCATAGAGGCTGGGTTCTCAATTAAAACCTTAAATCTGAATTTTAGAGTTAAAATTTTAAGTTATCAGTCATATGATTAGCCATCCTTATCATCAGAATCAAATTTCCCTTCCCTCATTCATCTCTTCAACAAACTTTTATTAATCACCTATTGTGTAGTCGAGCTGGTGATTGGCACCAGAGAAATGCTTTTTCTGTTCCCAGCTCCACCCCAGGGGCTAGCAATCTATGGGAAAACAGACATTTGAACCAAGCAAGTGTAGCACCTTAAGAAATACATTGTTATGTGTATGGATACAACCACTACAGAAAGGTGGAAGGGTGGTGTTTGAAGTTACCTATTGTATTAGTTTTGTAGGACTGCTGTAACAAATTACCACAAATGGGGTGACTTCAAACAACAGAAATTTATTTTCTCAGAGTTCTGGAGGCCAGAAATCCAAAATCAGGATTCAACAATGTTGGTTCGTTCTGGAAGTTTTGAGGGAGAATCTGCTCTGTTCCTCTTTCCTAGCTACTGGTGGTTGCTGGCAATCATTGCCTTGTAGATGCTCATTTCCATCTCTGCCTTCATCATCATGTGGTATTCTCCCTGTGTGTGTCTGTGTCCCTATGTCTTCCCATAGCCTCCTTATAAGGACAGTAATCAGTTATTACTATAGATAGATATTATATAGATATTATATAGATATATATCTATACAGATATTATATATATCTGTATAGATATATATCTATATAATATCTATATAATATCTATCTATAGTAATATATATATATATATATATGGGAGCTCTGGTAGCATAGTGGCTAAAAGCACTTGACTGCTAACCAGAAGGCTGGTGGTTCAAACCCACCAGCCACTCCTCGGAAGGAAGGTTGGGCAATCCTACTTCCATAGTGATACTGCCTCGGAAACCCAAGGAGGGATTGCTGTGAGTCGGGGCCGACTCGACGGCACATAACAACAACATATATATATATAATTATATCGCAAAGATTCTATTTCCAAATAAGGTCACATTAGTAGGTACCAAGAACTGGAAATTTAGTGTGTGTGTGTGTGTGTGTGTATTTTATATAAAGACACTTTGTTTCATGACATTGACTGCAGTTTCCCACAATGCAGCAGTTCCCCTCCCACTTTCTCCCCATAGTTACCTCTTCCCTGTGTCCTTCCCTCCCATGCACTCCTGCCCCTCAAGTTGTTTCCCTGTGCATACCCAGCTCTTCTATTCTCCCATGATTGATCTCTCCAAGGAGTGTATCTACCTAATGTAAATGTTCAGCTCATATACCTGTCTTTTATTTGGCTGGAAGCCACAGGAGTAGGTTCAATTCTAGTCCTGAAGGACAGGTAGGGGCCATAGTCTCCGTGCTTCCATCAAGCTCTATCAACCAGACCAGCAAACCTGGTTCCTTTTTTTTTTTTATGGTTTTGAGTTTTGTTCCACATTATTCTCCCTCTCTGTCCAGGATCTCCTACACAGATATCCCTCCAAGTGGTTGAAAGTGGTAGCCAGGCATCATCTAGTTCTTCTGGTCTCATAGTCGTATAGGTTGAGGATTGCATGGTGTACCAGTAGCTTGGACTAATTATTTCCATGAATCTTTGGTTTTCTTCATTCTTCTTTATGCTGGACAAGGACAGACCCATTGTTGCATCTAGATGGCCGCTTGCAAGCTTTTAAGATCCCAATCACTACTCGCCAAAGTAGGATGTGGAACAGTGTTTCTGTGTAGTATGCCATGCCAATTCAGCTAGATTCCCCTGTGACTGTGGTCCCAAAACCACAGGTCCAACTACTCACTCCCTCTAGCTGGCTGTGACCAAGCAGTGACTACAACCTTGTCCCTTGTCAGCTCTACTATATACTTGGGAATTCTTACAGAACATACAAATACATTGTCTGAAATATTTTCTGCCAATCATATACATGGTCTTGGGCTGACTCCCCTGCATACACATACCTAATAGTTCAGCCTGTCCACCCATGTATTCACTTGTATATCAATGTTTGCCTTCACTGACAACACAGTACTGTATGTCCAAAAGGGTTCATCTTTGTTGTCTGTACCTCCCGTGAACCTTTCTTTGCCTTCTCTCCCTCAACACCACCATATGGATCACTCACATTTGGTACACTGCCCTTCTCTTCACCCAAATCCTTACTTATCTCTGCTTATCTGACAGTGTTTCCTCCCCTCCCTAGCACCCCTGGTAACCAACAAAGAAAATTCTCTCCCATATAAAAACCTTTCCTTGACTATTTACAATAATGAACTAATACAATATTTGTCCTTCTGTGATTGACTTATTTCACTCAGCATAGTGTCCTCCAAGTTCATCCATGTTAGGCAGTTTTGCAGATTCTACATTATTCTTTAGGGTTGCATAGTATTCCATGGTGTGTATGTACCATAGTTTGGTTATCCATTCTTCTATTGATGGACACCTAACCTACGTTGTTTCCATCTTTTGACTATTGTAAACAGTGCTGCAATTAACATGGATGTGCAGATATCTGTTCTTGTCCTGGCTCTCATTTTTTTAGGGTATATACATAGTAATGGAATGGCTGGGTCAAATGGTATTTCTAATTCCAACTTTTTAAGCGATTATATAAGGAAATCAATACCATTTTCAATACTTATCCAAAAAAAAAAAAAACCAACTTGG